CATTGATCCACGAAGAATGGACCATTATACGCTTAGATCATACACAATATTGCACATCTGTTCAAAGACAGACGATGCTTCAACAATGATGTTCGAAGCAATTCATAGAGGTAGAGGTCTATAAGTACGCATAGTTTCTCTTACAATGAGTCATAGCCAAAATCGTACAGCATATACAGAGTGCGACGGAATGACGTGTTAAGCTGATATAAAATTATGTAATTCCTCACGATAAAAGAACAAGAACATATAGAATGAAGTTTTGATGTTCTTAGTTTTCGAAAACAGTATTTGAACATGCAATTTCGATTAAGATGTGATTTTCCATGCAATACAAAACATCTGTCGCGTTTATAAACAATACTTACACGATATTTGATAGTTAGTAGATTCAAAATAAGAACAGAACGATACTTTATCAGCAATATTTTGATAAATTATTCGTTATTGCAAAAAATCAATTAATTCTTATTGCTAAATATAATTTAAGTATAAACGAAATAATGATAAAAATGAGATTCTTCATAAGGAAATAATACAAGCAGACGTATTAGGAAATGAACACACAAATTCTGAAGCTGCAGAAAATTCGACCAATAAAGAATTTGGTCTATTACTCAAAATGTCAATAGAATTTACTTTTAAAGAAATTCTGACAACGATTCAATTTTAGTTTCGTCTACCTTTTTACTAAGTTATTCTACATATAAAAATAAATCATATTATGTTCCTGTTGTTTCAAAATAAATTACATATTATTCCATGTTATATTAAAAACAGTATTTATTTAATTCTAACTTTTGAGGTTCTTTGTTTCATAAATAGAATGGATTTAAATTCTTTCTTCAATAAATCTTTTATACTATTTACATTTGTTAAATCTTCGAACGCTATTAATAAATCATCAACATAAATTATAATTATTGTATCATAACCGTCTCTTAAATCTATATATACACAAGGATGAATTGCGGTTTTTCTTTCTGAAATTGATTCTGGTTAAGTAACTATCTAATCTAAAACACCATTCTCGTCCGGCTTGTTTTAAACCATACAAAGGTTTGTTCAACTTGCACACCTTATTTTCCATTCCTATTTTTATAAACATCTCTGGTTGCTCCATATAAAGCATATCCGACAGATTTCCTTGGACATAGGCAGTCACTACATCTAACTGATGTACATACATATTTTTAATTACATTAACTGCCAAGAGGGTTCTTACGGATTCTAATCTGGCCACTGGTGCAAATATTTCGATGAAATCTATACCTTCACGTTGCTGACCGCCTCTTGCGACCAACCTAGCTTTAAATTTATCAATAGAACCGTCTTGGTCATTTTAATTTTATAAACCCATTTACATTTTAAAACTTTTTCACCTGTAGGCCTCTCCACTAAAGTCCACGTGTCGTTTTCTATCAAAGCATTATATTCAGTTTTCATCGCCTCTAGTCATTTCTCCCTGTTCGGACTGTTCATTGCTTCGCATATAGTAGTTGGTTCAACTTAATTCAGTTCCTCCTGAGTCGAGTTCACACAAATTTCTTCGTTTGACTCCCCCTGAACCAACTTCTTCTCCTGATAAATCTTGCCTGGTCTTCCTCGATTTCCAGTTCTTTCAAATTTAGGACGTCCTGGCCCTCTACTTGTACATGGAGTTTCATCTGCAATTGGCTCCTGTACATTTGTTTCAATATTAACAATTTCATTATTAGATGAAGACGACACTGAAACTTCTTCTACACCTTGTAACAAAATTGGTTCCGTCGGTGCCTTAAGCAATTTCGATAAATCATTGCTTCGATCTTCATTATAATTTTCAATTAACCTGACGTCTCTTCTTTTAATAACCGTCCTGGTTCCTTTTTCCCATAAACGATATGCTTTTGCTTCAGACGAATATCCCACCAAGATATATTCTCTTCCTCTTGGTGCAAATTTATTTAAATTTCGATCTTTCGTCAAAGTAGTAACTGTACTGCTAAATTTTCTCATATATCCTATATATGGTTTTTCACCTGTCCAAATTTCGTATGCTGTAACATCTTCTTCGTAAGATTTTGTGGGACATCTGTTTCTAATAAATACCACAGTATTTACTGCCTCTGCCCATAATGTCGTTGGTAATTTTTCTTATATTAACATGGTTCTTGCCATTTCAATAATTGTCCGATTTGCGCGTTCAGCCGCTCCATTTTGCTGTGGCGTGTACTCGACAGTTAATTCTCTTCTAATGCCTTCTTTCTTTAGAAAATCACTAAATTCCTTTGAACAGTATTCTGCGCCATTATCTGTTCTTAACCTTTGAATTTGTTGACTAGTTTGTTTTTACACAAAAGGTTTATATTCTTTAAAAGCATCCAGTACTTCAGATCGTTTCGTCAGCGGCTTAACATGGATATAACGACTTTTGTCATCTATAAAACTAACAAAATGTTTAGGTCCTCCTAAAGAAATGTTGTTAAATGGACCACAAATATCACTATGAATCAAATCTAATAATTCTTTTTCTCTTCTAGTAGAAGATTTAAATGGTAAACGATGGATCTTACTTTCTATACAAGTTTTACATACAGGGTTGAAATTTTCCATATCTTTTTTCATACCGATTACCATTTGCTTGTTCTTCAGCTTACGTACGTCATTAAAATTTAAATGCCCAAGTCTTTGATGCCATTTGATCAACGCGTTACATTTTGTTTGTATCATTGCACTGTTATGACTTTTGCTTTCTTCCACAACATATAAACCATTTATTTCTTTAGCACACACAGCTACCGAACCATCTGGTCTTCTTACTTTAGCAGAGTCTTTATAAAATGTCACTTTATAACCATGTTCAGTAATTTGTGATACTGATAGTAAACTATTTTTGAAATTAGGTACCAACATTGCTTCTTTTAATTTAATGTCATTTTGTTCTTTGTCCATGACCTTTGCTTGTATATCAATTTGACCTTTTCCTATTGATTGCATACATTGATCAGTAGCTGTATACACTTTTACATTATTATTATTAATCACATTAAATTTCCCCTTTTCATTGGTCATATGCATATTAGCTCCGCTATCCAAATGCCAAATATTTGAATTTTTACAATAATTATTAAATGTCGTAGCTGTCATTGCATCACTTCGATTTTACAATGATGTGCCAAACTTCATACGACAGTCTCTTGATCGATGTCCATATTTCTTACACGTATTGCAATTTCCATTAAACGTCGGGAACTTTCCTTTGAAATTGACATTTTTATAATGCTTTTTCTTATACACGAATGCATTATCGTTGTTTATTTCTTCGTCTATATCATTATTTTCTTATCTTCTCGCTTCTTCTTCTATTAATTTTATTTTAAGTGTTTCTAGATTTGGTAATTCGTCGCGCGATTCAATGGCAATCACAAAATGTTCATATTCAGCTGGTAGTGAATTTAAGGGGGGAAATACCTTTAGACGGATGAAAACGAGCTTATCTGTATGAATTTTTTTGTAAAGCAAAGGATTGTTTTACATTTTTGAAACTTTGGTTATCATTTATTATATTCTTTCTCTATTACAACGCATTTTTTGTTTTTCAAAGTATTTAAAAATGGCGGAGTTAAGTTCCTGTTTTTCGGGAAGGTTGTGGTACGACTTATTAAATGGTGTAAGCTCTAGCATTGGCTACATTGATTTGAAACAAACCAGCAAGACATATTTCGATAACTAACATTTACAGTTTGTAGGTGAACCTAAAAAAAGAGAAAAATATTGAAAATTGAAAAAATGGCACGCGTTTAAACAGAAACTTCGAATTTTACATGAAATTTTCGCTATATTTTGCACCAAAAAGGTACTTTTATTTACAATTTATTTCATATCTTTAGGTTCATACAGAAGACAATATTGTTATAGATATGTGTGCAAAATTTCAACAAGATTGATTGAGTAGTTTTTGAGTTATTGGTTCCACCGATTTCGAAAATGTAGTTTTGAGATAAACATGTTCAAAGTTTCGATAAGTGATAACTCAATAATTTCAATAACTTAGCAGCTAGTCTGCGATTCCTGCGCCATACAATATTCTTTCTGTTTCCTCGTACAGCTGATTTTCCTCCATACGTTGCTCTCTTGTTGCTTTTCGAGCCTCTTTGGTAGTTAATGAGGTGCGTCGCTCCTATCGAATTACTCTTTGTTCGTCGATTTTGTCGGCGTATGTTTTTGCTTGTTTTCCAATTACAGTATTCAAAGCACTCATAGTTCTTAAAACTGAAGCATATCCTTCGTTAAATAAGCCAGCTGCCAAATATGCTGCAATTTCAATAATTTTTATTCCTGAGTGCAGGTGCTTTGGAGCGAACCGCCAAACAGTTGAGTTGAAACTCTCGTTATTGTTCTGAGTACGTCCGTCCAAGCACCTCTCAAGTAGATTCTCTTCAGATAAATCTTCATAAATTGGTAGGATGTGCTTCTGCACGTCTGGATGTAGTGGTGCAGGATGTTCTATAAGGTCCAAATTTGCTCCTGTAGCTAGAGCTTTCTGCCACTTGCACCAGCCGTCATTTCCTACCGGGCAGTATTCGTGCCTTGGATTTTCTTTGGTGGAGCATAAGTGATAATACGAAGCCATTATAGCTTCCTTCATATTTTCCACACTATGAATACTTCTTCGTATGGCTAAGCCATAGTATGCGGTGAGTTTCCTGATAAGCGCATCAGTCAGCTTACATTTTCCACCGAGGTTTTTTATTTTTTAATATTTCGAAGCCGGCTGTATGATAATTTTTGTTTTATAACGCAAATAATGTAAAGTAACATGTTTACAATGATTGAAAGGAGGGAATTATGAAAGGCGGGTCCTCCGCTTCTAACGCGTGAATATATACCTGCGGTGGGCTACCGCCTATGAGTCCCGATAGCATCAGAAGGGCTCCGAATTTCGCTTTAAAACTTTGGCACCATACTCTTAAGATGTTATACTAATATCCTATAGAAAAAAAAAATATTGCGATTTTTTAAGGTTCTAAAGGTATTTCCCCCCTTGATACCATTACAGTCACAAGTTCATCTGGAATTTTTATCCTTACCTCTTCCAGTTGTTCAACTTTACGTTGAAATTCACTAATGTATTGTGTCATTGATTGATTTGATTCTTTTTTCATTCTATGAAGTTGTTTATATAATGCGGCTCTTCGAACGGGACCTCTCGATTCATGTACCTTTTTTAAGTTCTCCCAAGCCTCGCGTGAAGTTTCCGCTCTTTTTACATGATTTAATTGAGTTTCATCAACACTCAATAGAATCAATGCTTTCTCATCTCTGTTCGTCCACTCGCGTACATTATCATCAGTCCTTATTTCCGTTCCATTTGTATAGGCCCATAATTCGTTATATACTAAGAGACTTCTAACTTGAATTTTCCAAGATTCGTAATTCTTCTCTCCAAGCTTCTGTATTTGATTTGGATTCAATGATGCCACATTTCCACATAACTTTTATTTTGTTTAAACGTACTACACTTTTACTACACAATAGAAACGTTATTATTTGAATTACCTAGGCCCATAACCTGTTGGGTTTAATAAGTAATGACACTTCTTTATTATTTATTTAATAGAATACAAATAAATTGAATATACTATACCTTTCTAACATTCTCCTTATTTTTTTCATAAAAAACCACCATATATTTGCTTGATACATATTTTGACTTTTTATACAAAAATAAGTTTCGTCTGGTAGAAAATGAACAAAAAATGTAACTACATTTTTGTTTATTATACATTTATTATAATAGAAATAAAATTAGTAAGTATAACTGACTGTGAGATTGAAAATCGTCTCGTAGGAAAACTCAGAAATGCATTTTAAATAGAAAATTGTTTTACAATTTTATACTCTCTTTGGTTTTGATTTTACCAATTTCTTCATAAACTTGGATTCAACCGTGTACTGCTTGCTCAATTAAAACTTGTCTGAAAGCATTTTTATTTGTGACTGCGTGTTTTAGAATTCTAATGGACGATTTATTCTAAATATGTATATCCTCATCACTTGCACAATAATATGTACAGTAGTTACGTTTTAATTATATGCGACGATCGCTTCGCGTGATTGTCGCTTCAAACATAAAGTAGTCAAAAGTTTCGAATTTATTAGCGTTACACTTTAAAAGTTCTTTCAAAATATTTAAATAATCATATTTGTTTATGTTACCTTGAATAAACTTTAATTTTCCCCTATCAAACCAGATTATCCGTCACGTTTAATGTTGCGGTCTAACTTTTTTCACTTGAAATTCATTATTTCGTCGACGCCAATAGAGATTGTATTATCGGTTTTACCGTTACCAACATAGACCATATAAATTTGCATTTTAGCATTTTCAATAATAACCGATAATATTGATAAATAAAAGAATTTGCGAAAACTACATCTTTGAGAAGAAATCGGAATTGATGTGCTATTTATAATATAAGGATTAGAACTATCGTGTTCACAAGGGTCACTTTTAAAGTGAATGCATGTTATACAGGGTGGACCACGAAGCGTGATCAGCTTAATTTATTATGCTGCTAGCGGTTCGATCGGAAATTTTCTTAGTTAAAATAACAAGGTTCAAGGAGGGCTTTAAGATGATTGTACGAAATTTTTTGTCGACCCTTCTTTTCCAGAGTTATCAAGGTCACCTTGAGTACACGCCGATCAGAAAACACTTCACGTTCGATATCATTAAATGTGCCCCAAGGTACAGAACGAAATGTTTACAAACAGTACGCGAGGGATCAAATCAATAATGACTAATACTAATCTATCAGCAGCTATAGAAAGTGTACAAGAGTGTGGCTTACTATTCCTCTTTAATAATTTTTTAAAATCTTGCAAAACTCTTCCAACTAAGAGTTTTCTTTAGTCATCTTAGATTCAGAAAAAATACGTGATATGATGCTCGTCGAATTCGTCTCAGTGTCCGCTAAAAAATGGATGCAAACAATGGTAGGTTCATCTGTAAAAGAACTGAAGGTGATCTTGATAACTCTGAAAACAGAAAGGTTGATAAAAAATTTGGTACAATCATCTTAAAAATCTTTCCTTGAACCATGTTACTTTAGCTAACAAAATTTCCGATCGAACCGCTGGTAGTAGAAAAATTTAACCTGATCACGCTTCGCGGTCCACCTTGTATACATATGTCGGTTTATCCATAGCGTTGCGCAATAAATACATGTGCTTGCAAGTTATTGTTATAAAAAACAATAGGATAATATTGGAACTCTGTATCTTCCGTGCGCATTTTATAACACTTATTCTTTAGCTAATACCATTTATACAAATGTTGATTCATAATTACACATTATAATTTATACAAAATGCATAATATTTACTTGTTTTTGTCTAACACGAAATGTGAAATTTTCATTCGTTAATTTTAGTTCGTTAATCTTAGTTATTTGAAAAATGATTATAATAACTGAATTAGACTGACCTTATTTTCATGTATTTCCGAACTTATTTATAAAGTCAAGCTTACGTTCATGTATGATGTAGGTATTTCTGTATTACAACGTTAAAAGTAACTTATCCTATGTACTAATAAGAATACATAAAAAACGACTTTGGTCAAACCACGATTTCTAATTCACGGAATAAAATGACAGCTGTTGAATTATCAACAGGAAATAATAACCCAGCTAGACTCTTTCTCATGTATTTATGCAAGTACACAAGAGAAACGCCAATCAGGCAACATGTGCGCATACCGAGGCTATAGACTGGTTCGTTCACGGACATTGTCATACGTCGATACTTGCGATATGTATGACACGTCAATAATAAGTATTTATTCACTAATAAGTTTTTAAGGGAATGAAGAAGGCAAAATGTAGAAGTTTCCGTCAGCTTTTCTCTGTGACTTGTACACAAAAGTTTTAATGTAGCAAGTAGCTGTAATGGATCAATAGCGGTGAGCACAGCCATCACGTAAGCTGAATATAGATGCACAGAAGAAGTACAAGGTGAAGTATAATTATTTGTTGTTTGCATCAAGTGATCAAGCAAACCGATTCACTTTTACTTAGTAATTCGAATTTAATAACTTCATATGTCACCTTATCGCAGATTGCATTGCTAAAAATATCGAACAGAAGAAAGTGAAGCTACTCTGCCCCTTTTACTTTTTTAATCAATAACTATTGCTTTACATCATAGAAATAAAGTGGAGCTTCTCGTGTTCGAATCAATAGAGATACAGTAATGTTTTAGTAATAGAATAGTCGTTTATTTAACAAAAGAAAAAAAAACAATGTAACAATTTAGTCAAAGTAACAGGCTTTAATTTTCGTATTTTGCAATTAGTGATAACATAAAAATGTTAAGTATCTGTAATCATTTTACCAATTAATAGGTTTGTTTACGTAATGTAATCAATATCAGTAGAAAAAAATGTAGGTACTTTTATCATTCTTATAAAAAGAAACATTGTATTAAACAGTCGGTAGTTCTAATATCAAGCCTAATGTTCTGCTAGTAATTAATGACTAATTCAATTGTACCGTTCAGATCAACGCGATTCTGTATTCGATCTATCCAATATCTTACTCAATATTAAGTTTACAAATTCATTCATATTTTAAATGCACTTTTCATTTAATCAATTACTAATCTATTAAAATTTTAAACATTTCTCCACTACGTTGAAGTTTTACAGTTTTGCAAAATCAAAAGTAAGAGAAAACTACCGAAAGTAGTGGTGAATATTTCGAGGGCTGGAAAAACATCACATTTTTTTTTTAATAGATGGTAAATTTGATTTTAAAAAGACTCTACATTAATTTCTGTAGCTAGTAAAAATAATTAACTTAATAAATTTCTTTCTGTAAACAGACGCAACGATGTTAATTAAATTATAATATCAACTATATAAAAGTAAAAGTAAAAATTGAAAGTAATATGTGATAATTTTAGCGTTTGTCATTTGATCAACGACATGTTATATGAAATTTGCAAATGTGTTCGGTACAAGTATGTGCGTCATGTTTGTCTAATTATCATTATTTGGTGGACAAAATTTGCATTGAGCTCTTTCGACTCCACTAATTGACGTCACGGGTATTATTGAATTATTTACTTCTCGCGCATATCGTAGAAGATTGCGTGATTCTTTCGTTCTTAGCGTATACGGTGTTGAATCCCATCGAGGAATTCAATAGTGTAGGATATCTATTTCTCGATGGACCAATCGACTAAATTGTTAACACGTTGATCGCTGGGTCACCCAGATCTGGGTGACAACTATGTTTACGTGGGGGTCCCATCACCCGTAATTGGGCGACGCTCTTCGTCCAATTATATAGGATTTTACAAATAATCTACAACAATTTTTTATTTACAACACGATTATTCAACAGTATTATCCCATTGCATGATATTCGTTGGAACAATTCAAACGCATAATATCCACATTATCCGTACTTGAATGTAATGAAATTTTATTTATATTCTTTTTTCTGGAACTGATCAGTTCTTCGTCATTACTACATTCATTTTCAATTATAATTTTACACTGTTTAACAGGTATTTTGGGGATAACGACGTAACAATATCTGTTACCAAAATTTATTCGATGACAAACGATGACTTATTAAACTGTAAACAGACTTAAACTAAGAATTATAAGTTAAAAAAGAAATTGATTTTAAAATCCCATTTGTATGAAGTAATAATAAATATATTTTACATAAAAGTAAATTTTACAAGTAGTAATAAATAAGTGTTCAGCTTACAAAAAGCTAGAAAGATGTAACTGTAACATATTTACTAAAGTCATTACTATATGTAAGTATATACCATTTATGATAATGTAATAATTTGAATGTGTAAAGAAACGTTTGAATTTAAGAACAAAATGTATTTAATAAGTAACAACTTCACACAGCTGTACACTGCAAACGATGTCGATGGGTATAATACATGAAGCCTGTATGCTTTCAGACTGATTATTTGAGTGTATTCACAGTTCGTTATAAAAGCCTGATATTTGTCTTGGATCTGGAGTTAAACTAAAATGATCATAGTTGCAAAATGTTTATACATGTTCTGTTATGTAGAAAATGTTCACACTGAAAACTTATACCAAAGTACATAAGACAATTGAATTATTACAGTATAATTTGAAAAAAGCATAGCAATGTAGAAAGCAATGTCCAAAGCAGATGTCTCAAGGAAAGTATTAACATAGATAGAGGATTTCTTAAAATGTTCAATAAAATTGAAGGCAATGTTGTTATATTTAGTTTCGTTAAATAAGATTTATTTTGACAGCATTTGGCTGGAAAGTCTCTAACCTTCTAGAACACAAAATATTTTCCAAATCTTATAAGAGATTTTGGTAATTGTTGCAAATGTGAGCGTCCTGATTGATTTTAATTAACTTGAAATATGTTATCAAGATCATCATTCTGAACAACTTTTCCCTATGTATATTACTACCATT